ATTTTATTTGTTCCTGAGTAAATCGGCTGAGTTTATTGAACTCCACCGCAACAATCTGCACATTTCATTAAAATTTAATAAATTCTCATCTTGTCTTTATTTTTAGTTAGCACATACCTTAAACACTTCAAGCTGTAAGCTAGTGATAGTTATATAAGAGCAGATGCATGCTGGTGCAATAAGTCTGTTTAACTACAATAGATGCATGATCTGATTAGTCGACTAATTGCAAAAATAATCGGTGGACTAACAAAATATTCGTTTGTGGCAGCCCTAGATTACAGTGATTATTATTCATAGGAACGGGGAATAGGGTTGTAATAAATAAAATATAAGGATGTCCATTTGATGGCCCTGTAATGTACTGGCAGTCTGTCCAGGATGTACTTTTTCTTTTGTCCTCTGACCAGTGTCGCCAACTCCAGAGTAAGGAAAATCGCTATTGGCTGTCCTAAAAGTCGCTAGAAGTCGCTAAATGATGTCATCGCCTAATTTGCATAATTGGTCATGCTGATGTATTGTAACCTATGCATGTTGGAGAGAGAAATAACATCGTGAAAGAGAGATAAAGTCAGTAAAAATATCTTTTGGCAATTATTGTTTTTTTAATGTCACAATTCCAAACCTGCTCCTTTATCCGGGCTTGGACCGTCAAAAGTGACCCGAAATAGGCACTCTGTTGGAGTTACTTTGTGTGTGTGTGTTTATAAGTATTTTAAAACCTTGTGGTCCACAAAACAACATAACAGTAAAAGAACTGACTGCGTTACAGTCAGTGCGGGAGCAGCGGCTTCGCTCATGCGCGATTCATTTGCAGTTTGGACGCATAGGTTTGAACATCTCCTGCCCTAATAGCAGCTGGGGGTGAGCGCTTTGGCATGGGCGAGGTGCTTATGGCAGCACCCGCTGCTTATTGAGAGTAAGGGCGATATGCGTTTTCACGTCAAAAAGTCGTCATAAATAAGGCTCCAATAACACCAGAAGAAGTCGCCAGATTTGTCGCTAGTCGCTTTTTAGAAAAAAAAAAGTCGCAACACTGCCTGTGAAAGCTAAGATAGAACACATCCCGCCCACAGCCCTAGGTTGGAGAAGTAGTTAACAAAATGCAGAAATAGACAAATACAATTCACATCTATTTCATCTTTGGACGTCTATTTTTATTTTTTAAGCTTCAACCAAATTTCTTTAGCAGGTGAAGGCTCCAAATACACAGGTCTAGAAACCAGTTGGCGACCCAATGGCAAATCACTGGTCACTAGGAAAAATGTTTTTTCCCCGGCCATTTGGTGAGTGATTGTGCAAAATTAGCCTCACAGATTTGCTTTGATTGCTAGCAAATTTGCAAGGTTGTCTATAGTTTGTAATGAACCGACCTGTCAGCAAACAGATCAAACGTTTTCAAGTTTTACTTCCACTCAGCCAGTAGTATGCAAGTGTCTGCCGGCAAGTTGGTGTGGGTAAGTTGGTGTAAACTGTGGGTAACGGCAACAATCTGCTAGTGACCAATCACAATGAGGTGTTTGGTGCAAAACTTCCTTTGTAACTTTGTAACTCGCCTACACATTTTTCTATAGCACCAGAGGTTGTCAAGGTGTTGTCGACTCAGCGCTTAGCTTGGTGTTTAGGGTAGTTTAGGTAGTACCAAAACCATGACTGATTGAATAAAATTGATAGTGGACATAAGTGTATTTGAAACAACAGTAAGCTTCGGTTCAATAAGAAGCGATCATTAGAATAAACTGAACATGATTTATTGATGTACAAAATTCAATTTGAGGTATTTGGCGTTCAGACCCCGATGGCCTAGCACAGCAGAACATAATCCCAGCTGTGATAGGGATAAGGGCAGGACCCCCCTACGGTGTACATTTTAGGACATCGTCAGGTATCAGACAAAAAATTGTCAGGTGTCAGTTGTCAAAAAAAAAATTGTCAGGTATCAGAAAAAAAATTGTCAGGTGTCAG